GAGCCAGTCAGACCAGAGTATGTGGCAGCCCACAGTCCGTGGGGCCTGGGCCTCCACTGTCCCTGCCAGAGGTGTTCATTCTCAGAGTCCCCTGGTAGTCTCCTGGGGATGTCGCACAGCCCACCACAAACTGGGTGCCTTAAAATGACAAAAATTAATTTTCTCACAGTTCTGGAGGCAGAAGTCTGAAATCAAGGTGTCAGTAAGCTGTGTTCCTTCTCAGCTCTGTAGGCAGAATTTGTCACATGAGACTTTACTGACTGGGCCCAAGTGTTCCGTGTCTTGTGGCAGGAAAAGTCCAGTGTCTCCCTCTGTCTTATGACCTTCTCTCGTGTGTCTCTTCTCTTCTTATGAGGACACCAGTCCTACTGGATTACCAGCTCACCCTAATCCAGTATGCCCTCATCTTAACTAATACCATCTGTAATGATCCTATTTCCAAATAAAAGTCACATTCTGAGGTACTGGGGGTTAGGTTTCCAACATATCTTTTTGGGGGACACAATTCAATCCATAACACCCTTCATGGTCCAAAATGGCTGCCAGAGCTCCAGCCATTAAATGCATTCTCCAGGGAGCAGAAAAGAGGTAAGAGGAAAGAGCACAAAGAGGGAGGGTTCCAGGGGATATCAGGTTCAGCCTGTCGTTTACCCAATACACAGACACAAAAGTGGGAGAGTGGAAGTCAGCCCCATGTTATGCTCCATGGGTCCACTTGTGCTGGAGGGAGGTGGGTGCTGCATGCAGTAATCTGTGGCAAATTGGGCAGGAAGGGCCATATCTGAGAGCTCCCTGTCCTGACACAGGTAGACAGATACTCCAGCCTCTCCAAGAGGTACTGATTCTCCAAGAAGCTTCACAAACTCCACAAGAGAGAGGTGTGAGAATTACCACCTCCCTCCTAAATCTGGTCTATGACACTGAGCACATAAAGATGGCCTCTTGGCACAGAAGGAAGGTGCTGTCCCAGAGGAATATGAAGAGTGTGAGCGTGGCCTGGACTGTAGTGTCCACTAGCCACAGGGCCCAAGCTTCAGGGTATGAGGGAGAACACTGGCCTTTGGCGGGCAAGGAGGAGGGGGAGAGTCAGAAGAGGCCCAGGCCTTTCTGGAGGAGGAACTGAAAGCCTGAGTTGCCAGGGTGTGTACCGGCACTCCCCAACCTCCTCCTCCCCAGCCTTGGACCATCTTCTTGCCCATCACTGTCCCTCCCCAGCAACTTCAAGCCTCTACCTCTGCTGACAGGCCCCCACCTTCATCTCCCATTGAGAGAGTAGATCTACCAGGCAGGCTCACCGCTGTGTTCCCCCTGCCGACCTAGCAACCTCCTGCCCCCTCTGCCCACCTTCTCCTCCCCCCTCATCCTATCCACTGCTATGCTCCCCAGGGCTGTGCTCCCTCAGTATCTAAAGCCCTCTCTGCACTGACCACCTCTGTCCCACAGACGAGCTCGTGTTCATTTGTTAGGGCATTTGCCGTGTGCCAAGCTTCAGTCCGAGGGTTCTGTGGGCACCGATTTTTTCAATCATCACAGATGCCCTATGATGTGCACACCATGACTGTGTCCCTCTGAGAGAGACCCCAAGAGTTAGTGTCCTGACTGGGGCCCCAGCTCTGTCCCTGCTGTCCCCTCCAGCCGGTTCTCATAGTCCTGGTCACAGTTTTTCTGACCTTTAAAGGGCTGTGGTGTGGCTCAGGGGTCACACACCTGCCTGGGCATCCAATGATTCCTTTGACCACTGCCCAAGGGTCCAGACTTGGAGCCTTGTTGCTGACAGGAGCAAGGGGGCAGATATGGATGCAACATGAACATGTATTTCCGTGCCATTTTCTTGGGTGTGACTACACTTTCTCCCTTATTTTATTTCTTATGATTCCATTTCTAAGTCCCAGGTCTGTGCGGGAGTACCTGGGGCAAAAATACCTGCCAAGCGAGGAGAGGTCTGTTAGCCGTGCTTGGTCCTGGCTCCAATCTCCGAAGTGGACAGCTGTGCTAGGCCTGGGGAGGGCAAAGGGGTCGAGAAGGGCAAAATCGCGTCCCTGGGGCCAGCGCTCACGTCCCAGAGGGACGACGACCCGCAAACCTGCTCCCCAGGAAGCTGTCCCGACCCCGGACTCGGACTCGCCGGGCAATCCTCCACACTAGCGGCCCTTGCCGGGAGCGTCATCTGGCGCGTGTCCGCCCCGGGGCGTCCGTTCCCTCCCCGCGCCCGCCAGCATCCGGCACGGCGCCTCGCCCACGCGGGTTTGGAGCGCGGACGACACCTCTTCTTGCGGCCGAGACCCTCCTTGTGACCCGCCCACCCCGGACCGGCGGCCCCCAGCCCAGCCCAGCCCAGCCCAGGCCCGGAGGCCCTAAGCCCCGGGCCCCCCGCCCCGCTCTCCACCCGCTGCCGGGTTCCTGGGTTTCGACGGAGCTCGGGATTTCGGGCCTCTGGACGCAGAGCCGCGAGGCCGCCCCGCCACCCCCGGCCACCAGGGGTCGCTGTTGCCCCTCCCGCCGCCGCCGCCGAGGCGGCGCGGCGCAGGCGCGGGCGCGGGCGCCCGGAACTCCGGTGCGCAGCTTCCGGGGCCGCCCGGGCCTTGTCCGCCGCCGTCCCGTCCCCCCGCGAGCCGCTCCAACTGCCAGGTGGGCGGGCGCGCGCGCACGGCCGGGGAGGGGGCGCCGGGCCGGGGTCGTGCGCGGCGGCCCGCTCATCCTGTGGCCGCCGGCCCCCGCAGCCCCGGCCCGGCGCCATGTACGCCGTGTACAAGCAGGCGCATCCGCCCACCGGCCTGGAGTTCTCCATGTACTGCAACTTCTTCAGCAACAGCGAGCGCAACCTCGTGGTGGCCGGCACGTCGCAGCTCTACGTGTACCGCCTCAACCGCGACGCCGAGGTGGGCGCTCGCCGGCGGGCCGGCACCTGCTGTGCGCGGCTGGGAGCGGCGCGGCGGCGGGCGGGGATGCGGGAGCGCCAGGCGGGGAGCGCGCCTGTCCGCCGGCGGGTGGAGCGCGGCTCGGCCGCCGGGCACGTGGGGGCGGGAGGCGGCGTTTTCCCGCGGGCCCCCGCGCGGCCGCTCCGGGGTGGGGCGGCCGCCCGTCGGCGGGACGACGGCCCGGGCGGGCGGGGCCCTGGCGCGTGACGAGCCCGTCGCAGCGGAGACGCAGGGGCGCTTGCGCTGCCCGGGCGATGACGGGTCCGGGACGGCCTCGTGCGAGAGCCGGGCGGGCGGGCGGGGCTGCTCCAGGCCCGAGGACGGGCGTGGAGGCCGCCGGGGGAGCAGGACCGGCGCGGCGCGGCCGCACGCGGAGAGGGCGGAGAGGGCGTGCGGCGGGGGCCGCCACCGCTGGGGGCGGGGGCGATGCCGCGGGCGGACGGGGCCGGGGGCGCCGACGTCGGGACACGTGCGTGTGTGCGCGTTAACTGCGCCGACTGCCGTGCGGACCATTCGCGGTGAAGAAAGCAGAGCAGGAGAAGCTGGGGTCGTAGGCGAGAGCTTCGGGACTGAACGTGTGCCGTTAAAAAAATCCTGGCGAGCTTTTGTGATAATGCAGTTCTTTTTTTTTTTTTAAAGATTTCATTTATTTATTTGAGAGAGAGAATGAGAGAGAGCACATGAGAGGGGGGAGGGTCAGAGGGAGACGCAGGCTCCTCGCTGAGCAGGGAGCCCGATGCGGGACTCGATCCCGGGACTCCAGGATCATGACCTGAGCCGAAGGCAGTCGCTTAACCGACTGAGCCACCCAGGCGCCTTATTTATTTTTTAAAAGATTTTATTTATTGAGAGGGAGAGAGAAGGATAGCATGAGAGGGAGGAGGGTCAGAGGGAGAAGCAGACTCCCTGCCGAGCAGGGAGCCCGATGCGGGACTCGATCCCGGGGCTCCAGGATCATGACCTGAGCCGAAGGCAGTCGCTTAACCGACTGAGCCACCCAGGCGCCCTGTGATAATGCAGTTCTGAGGTGTTTGGCTTTTGTCAGACTTTCAGCCAGAGCTGAAAACGAGGGCTTGCAAATAAAAGTGGGGGCGCCTGGCTGGTTCACTTGGAAGAGCGTGCGACTCTCGATCTCGGGCTGAGTTTGAGCCCCGCCTTGGCGGGAGCGATTACTTAAGTGAACGCACCGGTCTCCACCTTGTATGCGCATCTCTGCTGGATGCAGTAGACAGCTGGTTTCTCAGTCTGTCTGCCTCTAAAGTTCCTCCTCCGCCGATACCAGGGAACCTTAAGAGACAGATCGGAAGCTCAGCGTCCGCATGAACACTGGCGTTCGCTCACTCGTTTTCTCCACAGACGTGTGTGTTCGTGCAGGGGCCTCGTGAGGAGATGCTGGTGAGCACTGCAGGCAGAGAGAGCTGCGCTCGCGGCGCCCCTGTTCCAGGGGTGACAGACCAGACGCAGCCAGCCACGAAGTGCCGTGGAAACCAGCAGAGCAGAATGGGGAAGAGGGGAGCAGGAGGCTGTTAGATCTTGCCTCCGTGCAAAGTTGAGTTTTGAGCAGGCAAGGGCGAGGTGCTGGAGAGAGGCTTGTGGGGGTCAGGTGAAGCTTCCAGGCAGGTGAAGGTGTTAGGGCAGTCGGGGCTGGTGCTCAAGAACCAGCTCAAGAAGCTGGTGGCTCAGTCGGTGGAGCAGCCAGACTCTTGATCTCCGCTCAGGTCATGATCTCAGGGTCGTGAGATGTAGCCCCACGTTGTCGGGCTCCGTGCTGGGTATGGAGTCTGCTTGGGATTCTTTCCCTCTGCCCCTCCCAACACCCACTCTCTCTCTCTCCCCCTTTCTCTCTCTTTCAAAAAAAAAAAAAAAAAAAAGGAAAGGATCAGCCAACAGGCCCTGAGGAAGAGGGGAGTGACAAGGGGCTTCTGGCTGTCTCAGTCCGAAGAGCATGCGACTCTTGATCTGGGGTCGTGGATTCAAGCCCCACATTGATCGTAGAGATTACTTAAAAAAAAGGGGGGGGAGAGGAGAGGACAGAAGGTCAGAGGGGTGACGAGGTGGGGGCCAGGTATCAGCCTGGTGACCTCTTAGGCTTGTAGGGATTGAATGCTAACTCAGAGGTGGAGTTAAGGAGTGACCTGACTTACGTTTCACAAGGGTCAGTCTCTCTGGCTGCTGTGTGGAAGAAGCGGTAGGGAGGTGGGAGGGGGGCCTGAAGGGAGACCAGTCAGGAGCATCAGGCCGTGGAGGTGGTGGGAAGCAGTCAAGTTCAGGATGGACAGGATGTGGGACGCGAAGGCAGGAGGAGCCAAGGTTTTGCTGGGGCCCGGTTTGGGTCTGAGTAGCCAGGAGGGGTGGAGTTGCTGTGACCTGATATGGAGAAGGTAGAACAGGGGAATGGGAGTAGGAGCTCCTTTTTGGACATCATATTAGTTACTTTGTTGCTGCATGACAAGGTACCCCAAAACTTAGAAGCTTTTTTTCTTAAAGATTCTTTTTTAAATTTTATTTGTCAGAGAGAGGGAATGAACAGGGTGGGGGCAGAGGGAGAGGGAGAAGCAGGGAGCCCGATGCGGGGCGCGATCCCAGGACCCTGGGATCATGACCTGAGCCCAAAGCAGGCGTTTGACTGACTGAGCCACCCAGGCATGCGTCCCAAAACGTAGAGGCCTAAACAATAGATGTATCTCCCAGGGTCTGAGGGTCGGGAAGCCAGGAGTGGTTTAGTGGGGTGGCTCTGCACAAGCTCTCAGGAGGTTGCAGTTAGAGGTTGGTGGGGCTGCCACCCTCCGAAGGCTCTGTCGGGGTTGGAGTTTCTGCTTCTCGCTCTCACCACTGTTGGAAGGAGGCTGAGTGAGAAAGAACAAGGCACCAAGAAGCCACGTGTCTTCCTCACCCGAGGTGGACATGGCGTTCTACCACTTCGGCCACCTGGTACAGCTCATCTGGACCAGCCCTGGCCCAGTGTGCGCGGCCGCACGGGGCGTGAATTCTGGGAGGTGGTCTTGGACTCCAGCCGCCACAGACCTAACCATGGTGCTGATTCCACAGCCCACTGTGAGGTTGAGGGAGAGCTGCGGAAGGAGTTGTGTTGAGGAGCAGGGTCTGGAGCTGAAGTTGGGCTCTTTAGACTCTGAAGCTGGTTGGGATCACCCAGAAGATGGCCGCCTGGGGCGTGGGGTTCCCCAGCGTTGAGACGTTGGGAAGAAGGGAAGAGGCCAAGAAGAGTCGTAGGAGGCACGGCCAGGGAGGCGGGAGGAGAGCCCAGATCCAGGGAAGGCAGCGAACTGGGGGCCTGACGCTGCGTCCCAGGCTGCTCAGCCTCAAGTGAGGCACAAGACCTGGAGGCCCTGGTGACTCTTGACTGGGGGGTGGGGACGGGGGCCTGCAGGGTTGAGAGCCCACTGGAGAAAGAGAATGGGTAACGGTGAACATCTCCAGAAAGACTTGTGCCAAGGGAATCAAAGAGATGGAGCGGTAACTGGCGGGAAAACAGGATTCTTAAAAGATGTGAGCACGGTAGCAGCGTGGTCACAACCCCTCCCAGCCCACCGAAATCCAGGGGGCTTTGGACATCTTCAGAGAGTTGTAAAAATTCCAAACTGACTGCACGTGGCTGCTGAGCTGAAGTCAGATATTTGCTCTTTGGCTCATTGTAGGAAAGTTGACCAACTCTCGAGTCAGAGGAAGTATGTGGGGCGGGAGATGGAGCTGATGGGGGGCAGCTGGAGGGCGTTCGGGGTCAGCCTGGTCCTGCTAGAACAGCAGCCTGGTGTTGTGGGTGCGTGCGTCTGTGAGTGTTTTGGGAGTTTGGACAGGGCACCCCATGGACCGAGGAGGTCCCTGGCCTGTGCTCTGGGAGGTCTGGGCTTCAGCTGGGTGGCATCTCTCCATCCCTCTCCCCTCCTCTCCCCACGTGGCTGGCTTGGTTTTCCTGGCAGCATGGTGGCCTCGAAGTAGTTGGGCTTCTTATGTGGCAGCTCTGGAGACGAAGGGGAAAGCTGCCAGTCCTCATAAGGCCAGGCCCTGGGCGCATGCCAGCGGTTCCGACCCAGGAGAGGGGTGACGGGCCCCGTCTTGAGGCTGTCTTGAATCCGCCCCGTGGAATCCCGTGTGGGTGGCTGCAGTAGGGAACAGCTCACCTCTGGTGACAGGAGTGGGGAAGGCATAGAGCACGAAGCGGGTGGGGATGTGTGGGGGCCGGGCAGTGTGCCTGGGACCCCAGTCCTCTGGGTGAGGTGGGCAGCAAGGGCAGCTCAGTCAGAGGCAGGGTGTGCTGTTTGCAGAGCAGAGAAGCTGTGTGGCCTGGGGCAGCTGGGCAGTGGGAAAGGCCCTGTGACCTTTGGGAGGAAAAATACATAGCACTTCATTGAAATTAATGGAAATCCCAAGTAAATAGAAAATAGATCATGGTTATGGATGGAAAATCTCAATATTGTAGAGATGTCCACTCTCCTCGGGTCTTTCAAAGATGCAGTAGGTTTCCCATTAGATTTAATAATCTGATTCTCAAATTTACATGGAAGAGCCCAAAAGGAAGCATATCCCCAGTAACTTTAAAGATGAACAAGGTAGGACACTTGCTCTATAGGACTATCGAGAATTTTTTGTGTATACGTGCATATTTTAAAGCTGTGTTATTAAGTATATAGAGGACAAATTTAGAATAATGTTTTACTTTTGAACTGACATTTCTGTCATGAAATGTCCCATTTTATCTCCAGTACTTTTTGCTTTAAGATCTGGTTTCTCCAACATCAATGTTGTGACCTCAACTTTCTTCTTTTTCAAAGATATTTATTTATTTAACAGAGAGCGCACAAGCAGGGGGAGCAGCAGAGGGAGAAGCAGACTCCCCGCCGAGCAGGGAGCCCGATGCGGGGCTCGATCCCAGGACCCTGGGACCATGACCTGAGCCACCCAGGTGCCCCTATCCTATGCTTTTTTGTATCTATCGAAACAATATATTTTTGTTCTTAGCCTTGATAATGTGGGTGTCCTTGTGCTAAACTAATTTTGCATTCCTGGAATGACTTGGTTTGTGATGTAGTACCATTTTTACACGTCGCCGGCTCATTTGCAGATACCGCGAGTTGTCGGCTTCGACTTCCTGTCCCACGTGCACGATCCGTGTCGGGGGCCTACACCTCCTGAGGTGCCATCAGCCTGGGACTAGTGGGATTTTTTGTTTCATTTTGGTTTTCTTTGGTGTTTTTTAAGTTAGTCATCATTTCTGAAACATCTGGTAGAATTTCCTGGTGAAGTCCTCTGGCTCTGGAGTTTCCGTGGTTGTTGTGAAGTAGGTATTGACGTATAAAATGCTTTTTCTGTAATGAGTTAATTATATGGCTTTTCTCAAGCAGCTCTTTTCAGATGTTTTCCCCATAGCACAAGTGTATTATTAAAAATGATCTTTTTTCTCATTATTAAAACTCTTACGGGGCACCTGGGAGGCTCAGTCGGTTGAGTGTCCAACTCCTGATTGCGGCTCAGGTCATGATCTCAGGGTCTTGAGATTGAGCCCCGTGTCGGCTCTGTGCTCAGTGCGGAGTCTGCTTGAGATTCTCTCTCCCTCTGCCCCCCTGCGCCCCCTCCCTACCCGTGCGCGCTAGTGGGTGGACTGTTGGGGAAGCCATGAGCGGGGGCTCTCTGAGAAGCCCTGTGGCCACGTTGGGGACCCAGGGTGCGAGCGTGTTTGTGTGCGTTGGGTTGGGCTGTGCACGGCTGTCTCTAGAAGTCCTGGAAGCGTGGTCTGCACCGCAGTGAGGGTTTGGGCGGGGCCGGCCCTGCATGGTCTTTTCTCCCTGTCTCCCCGTGAGGTGGGGCTGCCAGGTGTGTGGCTTCACTGCTCACCTTCCCCTTCTCCTCCCAGGCACCAAGCAAGAACGACAGGAGCACAGGTGAGCACAGGGGTGGCTGCCCTGGCCATGGGCCTGGGACTGTGGGGGCTGGAGCGTGGGCCCAAACCTGGACCCCCCGGCCTGTTCCCCAGAGGGAAAGGCCCACCGGGAACACCGGGAGAAGCTGGAGCTGGTGGCTTCCTTCTCCTTCTTCGGCAACGTCATGTCTATGGCCAGTGTGCAGCTGGTGGGGGCCAAGCGGGATGCCCTGCTCCTGAGCTTTAAGGACGCCAAGGTAGGCGATGGGCCTGGAGGTGGGAGTCAGTGGGGGGCCTGCCGGGCCGTGGGTGGGCCCCAGCTCTGACCTGCTGCCTTCCAGCTGTCGGTGGTGGAGTATGACCCGGGCACCCACGACCTGAAGACCCTGTCTCTGCACTACTTTGAGGAGCCCGAGCTGCGGGTAGGGCCAGGCCCCCCCCCCCAGCCCCCCTGCTCCCCTTGGGCCTCCCATCCCCAGGCCTGCCTAATGATGCCCTCTGCCCCCAGGATGGGTTTGTGCAGAACGTGCACACGCCGCGGGTGCGGGTGGACCCCGACGGACGCTGTGCAGCCATGCTCATCTACGGCACGCGCCTGGTGGTGCTGCCCTTCCGCAGGGAGAGCTTGGCCGAGGAGCACGAGGGGCTAATGGGGGAGGGGTGAGTACTGCGGCGGGGGAGGGGCTCTCTGAGCCGGAGTTCCCTGCTTCCTCTGCCCACTGAAGCCTGTTGCCCCCAGGCAGAGGTCCAGCTTCCTGCCCAGCTACATCATCGACGTGCGGGGCTTGGACGAGAAGCTGCTCAACATCGTGGACCTGCAGTTCCTGCATGGCTACTACGAGCCCACCCTGCTCATCCTCTTCGAGCCCAACCAGACCTGGCCGGGGTGAGGCCCCGGTGCCGTGGGCTGAAGCTGCCAAGGCCTGGGCTGGGGCTCCGGCGGGCGGGTGGGGGAGGGACCAGGCCACCCAGCCCTGGTTGACCTGCCTGTCTGTCCCCAGACGGGTGGCTGTGCGGCAGGACACCTGCTCCATCGTGGCCATTTCCCTGAACATCACACAGAAGGTCCACCCGGTCATCTGGTCCCTCACCAGCCTCCCCTTCGACTGCACCCAGGCCCTCGCGGTGCCCAAGCCCATAGGTGAGTCCGTGGGGGTGAGGGGCGCAGTGCGAGGCTGCGGAGCCCCGCCCACCAGCCTGTCCCTCTCCAGGTGGGGTGGTGGTCTTCGCGGTCAACTCGCTGCTGTACCTGAACCAGAGCGTCCCCCCGTATGGTGTGGCTCTCAACGGCCTCACCACCGGCACCACCGCCTTTCCCCTCCGTGAGTGTGGGTAGGGGCGGGGCCGAGGGGCAGCGGCGGTGGGGGCCGTGGATCTGACTGTGTCCCACACAGGCACCCAGGAGGGCGTGAGGATCACCCTCGACTGCGCACAGGCGGCGTTCATCTCCTACGACAAGATGGTCATCTCCCTCAAGGGCGGTGAGATGTGCGTCTCCCCCCCCTTCGGTGAGCCCCCTGCCCTCCCCCCCTTGCCCCCCGGCCTCGCCCCAGCTCAGCGCTCCCCCTCCCGCAGCTACGTGCTGACCCTCATCACGGACGGCATGCGCAGCGTCCGCGCCTTCCACTTCGACAAGGCCGCCGCCAGCGTCCTCACCACCAGCGTGAGTTGAAGGAGGGGTGGGGGGAGCGGCCTGGGGGTGGGCCTGGCTGCACCCTCAGCACCCACCGTCTTCAGATGGTCACCATGGAGCCCGGGTACCTGTTCCTCGGCTCGCGCCTGGGCAACTCGCTCCTCCTCAAGTACACGGAGAAGCTGCAGGAGCCCCCAGCTAGTGCCGTCCGAGAGGCTGCCGACAAGGTGGGTGCCTGGGGCCTGTTGGGACACGAGCCCCTTGTGCGGCGGGCTGCCTCGGAGGGCTGCTCACTGCCCCCCCGCCCCTCCCCCCAGGAGGAGCCTCCCTCGAAGAAGAAGCGAGTGGACTCCACAGTGGGCTGGTCAGGTGAGGACGGAGAACCAGGGCCGGAGGGGGCAGGCAGGGGCTGGTCGGGTTAGGCCTGGGGGCCGGGCAGCTGGGGGGGGGCTCACGAGGTCTGTGTCTGCCGCAGGGGGCAAGTCGGTGCCGCAGGACGAGGTGGACGAGATTGAAGTATACGGCAGCGAGGCCCAGTCAGGCACGCAGCTAGCCACTTACTCTTTTGAGGTGAGGTTGGGGCCCGGGGGGGGCCTCCCGCCCTGGCTGGCCTGCCTGAGCACGGCTGTCCGCAGGTCTGTGACAGCATCCTCAACATCGGACCCTGTGCCAACGCTGCCATGGGCGAGCCTGCCTTCCTCTCTGAAGAGGTGCCCTCGGGTGGAGAGATGGGGGCAGGGGCCACGGGAGCCTGCCCTTCCTCTTGGACCCGGGCAGGGAGATGGGGGGCGGGGGGCCGCGGGGGCCTGCCCTTCCTCTTGGACCCGGCCAGGGAGATGGGGGGCAGGCGGCCGCGGGGGCCTGCCCTTCCTCTCGGACCCGGGCAGGGAGATGGGGGGCGGGGGGCCGCGGGGGCCTGCCCTTCCTCTCGGACCCGGGCAGGGAGATGGGGGGCGGGGGGCCGCGGGGGCCTGCCCTTCCTCTCGGACCCGGGCAGGGAGATGGGGGGCGGGCGGCCGCGGGGGCCTGCCCTTACTCTCAGACCCGGGCAGTTTCAGAACAGCCCCGAGCCAGACCTGGAGATCGTGGTGTGCTCTGGCTATGGGAAGAATGGGGCCCTGTCGGTGCTCCAGGTACGTGGGGGTGGGGGAGGGGGGGTGCCTCCTGGTGGGACCTGGGTGGACGGACACCCCCCTTGTCATTCCAGAAGAGCATCCGGCCCCAGGTGGTGACGACCTTTGAACTTCCCGGCTGCTACGACATGTGGACAGTCATTGCCCCCGTGCGAAAGGAGCAAGTAGGTGGAGCCTAGACTGGCCGGGAGGCCCCAAGTGGGGCGGTGACCAGTGCTGCCCTCCATGTGGGCTCAGCCCGAGCTTGGGGGTGGCCTGGAGGTGGTGGGGCCCAGGACAGGGCTCGGCCGGGCTGTTTGGGGCAGGCACCCCCGCCTGGGTGGTGTCATCACTGCTCTTCCTCCTGTCACAGGAGGAGACCACCAAGGGGGAGGGGGCAGAGCAGGAGCCCAGTGCCCTCGAGGCAGACGATGATGGACGAAGACATGGCTTCCTCATCCTGAGCCGGGAAGACTCCACCATGGTATGGGGCGGGGGTCCGGCCGGGGGGGGGGGGGGGGGGGGGAGGGTCCCGCCGCTGGGGGCGTGGTCTGGCCGTGGTGGGGGGGGGGGGTCCTGCCGCCGGGGGGGTGTGCCTCACTCTCCCATCGCCTGCAGATCCTGCAGACAGGGCAGGAGATCATGGAGCTGGACACCAGTGGCTTTGCCACACAGGGCCCCACTGTCTTTGCTGGCAACATTGGGGACAATCGCTACATCGTGCAGGTGTCGCCGCTCGGCATCCGCTTGCTGGAAGGAGGTGGGCGCAGGCGGCGGGCGGGCAAGGGTGGTGGGTGCTGACCACCCAGTGCTGACGTCCTGTGCCCACAGTGAACCAGCTACACTTCATCCCCGTGGACCTGGGCTCCCCCATCGTGCAGTGTGCCGTGGCTGACCCCTACGTGGTCATTATGAGCGCCGAGGGCCAGGTCACCATGTTCCTGCTCAAGAACGATTCGTATGGGGGCCGTCACCACCGCCTGGCGCTGCACAAGCCCCCGCTGCACCATGTGAGCACCCGGCCGTGCCCGCAGCCTCTGGCCCTCCCCCTTCCCCTCCGCCCGGTGCTGAGCCCGTCCCTGTCCCTGTAGCAGTCCAAGGTGATCACACTGTGTGTGTACCGAGATGTCAGCAGCATGTTCACTACGGAGAGCCGCCTGGGCGGGGCCCGCGATGAGCTGGGGGGCCGCAGTGGCTCCGAGGCGGAGGGCCAGGGCTCGGAGACCAGGTACGTGGGGGCAGTCAGGGCACGGGCTGGGCCAGGGGGCCTGTGGCAGGCCCCGCATGACCTGTGTGCCGGCCCCGGCCTCTAGCCCCACCGTGGATGACGAGGAGGAGATGCTGTATGGGGACTCGGGCTCCCTCTTCAGCCCCAGCAAGGAGGAGGCCCGCAGGAACAGCCAGCCCCCTGCGGACCGGGACCCCACCCCGTTCCGGGCCGAGCCCACCCACTGGTGCCTGCTGGTGCGGGAAAACGGAACCATGGAGGTGCGTGGGGCCCTGTGCCCGGTGCAGCTCCCTGTCCCCGGCTTCCTGTGGCCTCCTGTAGCCGCTAACCCCACTCCCCACACAGATATACCAGCTCCCTGACTGGCGGCTGGTGTTCCTGGTGAAGAACTTTCCTGTGGGGCAGCGGGTCCTGGTGGACAGCTCCTTTGGTCAGCCCACCACGCAGGGCGAGGCCCGAAAGGAGGAGGCCACGCGCCAGGGGGAGCTGCCCCTTGTCAAGGAGGTGCTGCTGGTGGCCCTGGGGAGCCGCCAGAGCAGGCCCTACCTGCTGGTGAGTGTGGACCCTTTGTTCCCCGCGGCGGCCCGGCCGGGTGCCCCCACTTCCCTGGTGACCCTGCGCTGCCCCCCAGGTGCACGTGGACCAGGAGCTGCTCATCTACGAGGCCTTCCCGCACGACTCCCAGCTCGGCCAGGGAAACCTCAAAGTCCGTTTCAAGAAGGTGCAGTGACGGGGCTGAGCCGGGCGTGGGGTGGATGTGGAACGGGGTTGGGGGCAAGACCCGGCCCTCATGGCGCACCCCCCCCTCCAGGTTCCTCACAACATCAACTTCCGTGAGAAGAAGCCAAAGCCGTCCAAGAAGAAAGCGGAAGGCAGCGGTGCCGAGGAGGGGGCTGGTGCCCGGGGCCGCGTGGCCCGGTTCCGGTACTTCGAGGACATCTATGGCTACTCGGGGGTAGGCAGGCGGCTCTGGGGGGGCCCGGGGTGGGGCAGATGGGGCCTCACCTCACAGTGCCTGCCCTCAGGTGTTCATCTGTGGCCCCTCGCCTCACTGGCTCTTGGTCACTGGCCGGGGGGCCCTGCGGCTGCACCCCATGGGCATCGACGGTCCCATTGACTCCTTTGCCCCGTTCCACAATGTCAACTGTCCCCGTGGCTTCCTGTATTTCAACAGACAGGTAGGGAGACCCCAAGGCTCATGTGCCCCGTGTTGCCCTGCCTGGGTCAGGAGGAGGCGCTGGGGACCCTGCTGGGTGTCTAACAGGTGGACGAGGCCAAGGTCAAAGAGGTGAGACACTGGGAAGGCTTGGAGGACAGGGCAGGCGGGCGTGGCGGCCGCAGCCCCTGAGGGCGCCTGTTTGCGGGGCCGGTTCCAGTCACTGCTCTGCCCTTCAGGAGCTGTGTGACTCTGGGCCGGGTGCTCACCCTCTCTGAGCCCCGTTTTCTCATCTGTGAGGTCAGTGTGAGGACTCGTGATGAGAATGTGGCAAGTGCTCTGTAGGTGCTGATGCTCTTAGAACTACGGGCGAAGGGCAGCAGCCGGGGGGCCAGTAGGGGTCCCCTCGTCTGTCTGCAGACTCTGGCCTGGTCAGTGTGTGGGTAACTTTTCGCCTGCAGCCTCCAGCTTCCTCTGGGCCCAGACCATGTCTGTGGCCAGCATGCCAGCCCCGGGTGAGCCTGAGAGAAGGGACGGGAAGGCCGTGAAGCACGGGACTGCACGGCTCAGTCCCTTGCACACCCCGGTTCCAGTAGAGCTGAGGGCTGGCCTCGCGGAGCCCTCGGAAGCCCAGGTTTGCCTGCCCTGCCCTTGGCGGATACCAGGCCTCACCGGCCCCTGTCCCCCACGCACCAGGGTGAGCTGAGGATCAGTGTCCTGCCTGCCTACTTGTCCTACGATGCCCCGTGGCCTGTCAGGAAGATCCCCCTGCGCTGCACTGCCCACTACGTGGCTTACCACGTGGAGTCCAAGGTCTGACCCCGTCCTTTCAGGGCCAGGGACCCTCTCTCTGGTGTGGCCTCCCGCACGCCCGTGACGCGCTCCTCTCCCCCAGGTGTATGTGGTGGCCACCAGCACCAACATGCCGTGCACCCGCATCCCGCGCATGACAGGCGAGGAGAAGGAGTTCGAGACCATCGAGAGAGGTGCGTGATGCCCAGAGTGGGGCTTGCTGGCGAGGCTGCCCGCCCTGACCACCAGCCCGTGTCCTTGCAGACGACCGATACATCCACCCCCAGCAGGAGGCCTTCTCCATCCAGCTCATCTCCCCGGTCAGCTGGGAGGCCATCCCCAACGCCAGGTGAGGCTGGGGTCTGGCTGGGGACTGGCGGCCAGCCAGGAGGCGGCATCCTCACTCTGCCTCGTGCAGGATCGAGCTGGAGGAGTGGGAGCACGTGACCTGCATGAAGACCGTGTCGCTGCGCAGCGAGGAGACGGTGTCAGGCCTCAAGGGCTACGTGGCTGCCGGGACCTGCCTCATGCAGGGGGAGGAGGTCACGTGCCGAGGGCGGGTAAGGGGCCGGCTGGCGGGGATGGGCAGTGCCCGGCCGCCCCGGCCCTTGCCCTGCACATCACCCACCCTCCTTCCCCGGCAGATCCTGATCATGGATGTGATCGAGGTGGTGCCTGAGCCTGGCCAGCCCCTGACCAAGAACAAGTTCAAAGTCCTGTATGAGAAGGAGCAGAAGGGGCCTGTGACCGCCCTCTGCCACTGCAACGGCCACCTGGTGTCCGCCATCGGTCAGAAGGTGAGCCCTCCTGCTCACCCCGGGGCCTGCCCCTGCCTGCCCGTTGTCACCCACTGCTTCTGTCCCCCTAGATCTTCCTGTGGAGCCTGCGGGCCAGCGAGCTGACGGGCATGGCCTTCATCGACACCCAGCTCTACATCCACCAGATGATTAGCGTCAAGAACTTCATCCTGGCGGCGGACGTCATGAAGAGCATCTCGCTGCTGCGCTACCAGGAGGAGAGCAAGACGCTGAGCCTCGTGTCCCGGGTACCCATGCAGCCTAGACCCCGTGCTGGGTGGGTGCTGGCCGCGGGCTGGCCTTGACGTCCGTCCCCCGTCCCCAGGATGCCAAGCCCCTGGAAGTGTACAGCGTGGACTTCATGGTGGACAACGCCCAGCTGGGCTTCCTGGGTGAGCGCAGGGCCTGGGGGTCCCGGGGCTCAGAGACGTGAGGGGTGGCCCGGCTGACCCTGGGCTCTGCTTCTCAGTGTCTGACCGGGACCGCAACCTCATGGTGTACATGTACCTGCCAGAAGGTGAGTGTTCCCCCTTCCCCTGCGCGGGGGCTGGCGCCGGGCAGGCAATGACTTGAGCTCCCTCTGGCCCAGCCAAAGAGAGCTTCGGGGGCATGCGCCTGCTCCGGCGGGCGGACTTCCACGTGGGTGCCCACGTGAACACGTTCTGGAGGACGCCGTGCCGCGGCGCTGCGGAGGGACCGAGCAAGAAGTCGGTGGTGTGGGAAAACAAGCACATCACCTGGTTTGGTGAGTCCCGGGCGGGACGGGCGGGCATGCGGGGCGGGGTGGTCAGCCTCGCTTACACGGTGCCTCCTGCAGCCACGCTGGACGGTGGCATCGGGCTCCTGCTGCCCATGCAGGAGAAGACGTACCGGCGGCTGCTGATGCTGCAGAACGCGCTGACCACCATGCTGCCCCACCATGCGGGCCTCAACCCCAGGGCCTTCCGGTGAGTGTGCGGCCCCGCCCCGCGTCCCGCGTCCCGCCCCCGCTGCCCTACACAGCCTGCGTGTCTCCCCAGGATGCTGCACGTGGACCGGCGCATCCTGCAGAACGCCGTGCGGAACGTTCTGGATGGGGAGCTGCTCAACCGCTATCTGTACCTGAGCACCATGGAGCGCAGCGAACTGGCCAAGAAGATCGGCACCACCCCAGACATTGTGAGCCCCCGGCCTGCCCCGCGGGGCCCACCCCTTCCCACCTGGCCTACCCCCGCTCACCAGCCCCTCCCCCTGCAGATCCTGGACGACCTGTTGGAGACTGACCGCGTCACCGCCCACTTCTAGGCTCCCGGATGCCCCCCCCGCCCCCCCCCCCGTGCGCTGCCCCCACCCCTTTTTGTACAAAACACGAGGAGATGTTTGCTTTGAGAAGAGCTTGTGGTCATTGTCGGCCTCAGAGCCCCACGGTTTCCCCCCGCCCCCAACCGCTTCGCGCCCCAGGTCCCGGGGCATGTGCACTTCCAGCCCTGGCCAGCTCTGTGGGTCCGACGCAGCTGAGCTCGGAGGTCCTCTTGCCCCCGGGGCTCCCTAGGTCTCCAGGTACTCAGAGAGCCCCCGGGTCTCAGGCAGGAGGCCCAGGTGGACCAAGAGCCGGACCAGGAGGGCAGTGAGCCGCATAGATAGGGTCTCCAGCCTGGTGGGAGGCCAGAGGGGTCACAGGTTGGTGCGGGGCAGGTCTCAACCGCCTGCGCTGGGTGCCTGCCCCGCCCCCTCCCCTCCCCTCCCTCCTCCCCTCCCTCCTCCCCTCACCTCAGGGCCACTTCGAACTTGAACGTCTCCCAGATGACCCTGATGTGGCGCAGGAGGCTGCCACCGTAGAGGCTCTGGTAGGCGGCACCTGCCAGGCGGCTCCAGCCCCTGACCGCACTGCACAGACACACGGTCAGCCCGGCCCAGGCCCACGCCCGCCGCCGCTTCCCACCCCCCGGCATCCCGCCAGCCCGCACCCACCTCTTGGCCATGAGGAAGTAGCGGTCCACGGGGGTGCCCAGCGCGGCGTTGATGGCACGCACGGTGTTGATATTGCGCAGCACGAGCAGCATGGGCCGCGGCAGGGCCTTGAGCACCCCCATGATGCCCTCAAAGTGCTCCTGCGCCATGGTCTGCATGTAGGCCGCCTCCTCCCGGCTGAGCAGGTGGGAGCCCCACAGCTGCCCCAGGCGCACGGGCCGCTGCATGAGCACCTCGGAGAAGAGCAAGTAGTCTGGGGCGCGGGGCGGGCGGTGAGCCAGGACCGCGGGCCCCACAAGCCCCCACGCCGCACACCCCGGCCTCACCTCGCACCCCGAGCGCCTCTGCGTGTGTCCTCATGGCGGTGTCGTCCCTGAGAACGATGGCCCTCCACAGCTGGCACAGGGCTGAGCGGTCCCTGCGGGAGGCCGGCGATAAGGCCCAGGGACCAGGCCCTGCCCCGCAGCCCCTCCAGGCTCCCCGGCTTACTTCCTGTCCAGAAACTGGTAGAGCCCGTGGTCCAGCAGCACCAGCTGGGCCTTCCCGTCAGGGCCTTTCCGCACCAGAACTAGGGACACAGCGTGTCGGCTCGTGTCCCCTGTCCCCCGACTCCCACCCCCACCCCCGGGGACTTTTCCTACCATTGCCAGGGTGGGGGTCTGAGTGGATGAAGCCTGTATAAAATATCTGCTCCGCAAAAGCCTGGATGAGCTTCTCTGCGATCTGCGGAGAGAACGGGACCGGGCCACCGTCACCCTGTGCTTGGGGCGCACACGTGCCCGCCCACGCCCACACACTCATGCACAGGCACTCACATCCTTCACTGCCAGCCCCATGCACTTGATGGCCTCCACATCGCTGACCTTGCAGCCCTCGCAGAATTCAGCCGTCAGCACACGCTGGGAGAGAGCAAGTGGCTGAGCTCAGCAGGGCTGCGCGTTCCCACCCAGGAGGGGGCCCAGCCCACCTTGCTGGACGTGTCCCAGTGCACGCGGGGGACCACGATATAGCGCAAGTGCTGCAGCTCCCGGGCACAGCGCTCGGCATTTCGGCCCTCGTTCTCGAAGTCCAGCTCCTGGGCCAGGGTGCCCTTCAGGTCCTGGGGGCCACACGGGCAGCTGGGGGTCGAGGTTGGGGACCAGGCCACCCCAGCTCATAACATGCAGACCCTGCTTGCTCCAGCCTCTGGGCAGCGCTTACCTGGAGGACCCAGCTGAAGCCGAAGCTGGGGTGCATGAACTCGATGAGCTGGAGCAGGAGCTCCAGGGTGTGGATGTCGCCATGAAAGCGGTCCCGCAGATCGATGTACTGCACCTGCGTTGGGCGAGGGTGCAGGGAGGACCCAGGGCTGCCAGCACCGCCCCAGACCCCGCTGCGGTGCAGAGTGGGCCCCCACGCACCTTGACGGCCACCTCCGTGCCGTCGTGCAGCTTGGCTCGGTGCACCTGGGCCAGGCTCGCGGCGGCGATGGGCTGATAGTCGAACTCCTGAAAGAGCTTGTGGGGCAGGGCCTGGAAGTCCTCGAGGAACAGCTCGTCCACCTGGCAGGAGAGGGTTCTTGGAGCGGGGAGCGGGAAGGGGGGGAGGCGCTGCCAGAGCCCCCAGCCCAAGTGCAGGGCTCACCTCCTGGAACCTGCGCGTGAGGGCCCTGTCCTCCAGCACACGCAGAGTCCTGATATACTCCGGGGGCAGCAGGTGGTTGAAGGAGCACAGCCCCTGGCCCAGCTTCACGTAGAGGCCCCCATTGCTGATGGCCCCGGCGACCAGGGCATCAGCCGCCCGCTGGTGACATGCAGACATCACCTCCAAGTACCCCGGGCTGTTCTGACCATAGGCATGGAGGGAAGGGATGGGGGCGGGTGGGCAGGCACCTCCTTAGTGCCCCCAGCACCCACCCTCATCGAGCGTGTCACCGTCCCCCCTCTTCTCCCGCTGTGGCTAGGATGCAGGGACAAACCTCTTCCACCCCGTGCAGGACGACGTTTGCACACCACCAGTAGTCCAGGGAGATCTGTAGGCCTATCCTCAGAGACCTGTTGGCAGAGGCTGCCTTCAGCCCTTGGCAGGCACGGCACCTCAGAGCCGTCCCACCCCCGCGCCAAACCACCGGCCCGGAGCGAGCGTGCGGCAGGGGCTGCTGGGCTCCCAGGCTGGACCAGGAGGGAGAGGACAGGCTCTGGTGTGGCCCCCTTGCTCTTAACACTGCCAGCAGGGCAGTCTCAGCTCCCGCTCTACGCCACCCCTGTGCCCGAACGTGCGCCAACGAGCACCCAGCACAGACGGGAGGGGCGGGAGCTGGTGGGGGGGCGCTCCGGCCCGAAAGACCGGGCTTCTTTCTCACTGCTCTTATAGCACCTGAGACCTGTGCAGCGCTGATGGCTAATGAGCGGGCGGCTGTCACCAGCTCCCATGCTCAGACATGCCCTCGCCCCAGGCCCCTCTGCACCGCGCGCCCCGCCGAGCCCCCAGGCGCTCTCCATGTGTCCGTGGACAGCAGGGCTCCTGGTGCTCTCCACGGTCCTGGGGACCCGGGCCCCTCCCTACGTTGGCAAGGGTACTCACTCCCCGTGGCCCAGGCTATGGACAGGCCGCCCTGGGTCTGGAGAGGGAAGGAACCAGGGCTGAGTCCAGCCTCCAGCATCACAGACCGCAGACCCTCAAACCTTCATGGGAGGGGTGTAGGGCTCCTGTTCCTCAAGGAAGAAGCCCTGAGGGGACTGGGGCCCCTGGTCAAGCCAAACCTCTAACTTCTGCCTCCCACCTCCGGCACAGGAGGGTCAGAGTTGAAGGGCAGGAAGGAAAGGGCTGCTGGGTTCTGGACCGGTTTGCCTCCCTGCTAGGGTATATGCTACCCCCGCAGTCGCGGTGACCGAGCATGCCCGAGCAGAGTCAGAGGGCGGCCTGCGCCTTACGCGAGCGCGCCTTACGCGAGCGCGCCTTACGCGAGCGCGCCTTACGCGAGCGCGCCTTACGCGAGCGCGCCTTACGCGAGCGCGCCTTACGCGAGCGCGCCTTACGCGAGCGCGCCTTACGCGAGCGCGCCTTACGCGAGCGCGCCTTACGCGAGCGCGCCTTACGCGAGCGCGCCTTACGCGAGCGCGCCTTACGCGAGCGCGCCTTACGCGAGCCGCGCTGCACTCCACAAATGAAGGGCTCTGTCCCACTCACCCCCAGCCGGACCCAGGGAACAGACAGGACTCTGTGAAGAACAGAGCGCATGGTTGGCAGGGTGAGCAAGGACACAGGAATTCTCTGAGCTCCCTAGAGATACAAAGCGGGGGAGGGGGGCTTCCCTCCTTCCTGAATAATTCAGTCCAAAAGGGAATGCAAGGTCTGCAAAGGGGCGGGGGTGGTTGCTACACTCGGTGACTGATCAAATAAGTCACTAAATTATGGACAAGGGAAGCCAAGATTCTTCCAGCTGGAGAAGAGAGTAAATGAGAATGATCTCTGTCCTGGGAAGTATCTGTGTGTACAAGGTGTGGTGTGTACGGCTAGACACAGAGATGGACACGTGTGCGTGTGCGTGTGCACAGCCACACGTCCAAACAGCCCCTCGCTCTAGTCTACGGAAGGGCCTGGGAGCAGACCGCCCAGAGCAGTGAGCACACCAACATCCACGCCCTGGTCCTTAAGACCCTTCCTCCGGGGGCAGTGGCTCAGTCGTTAAGGGTCTGCCTTCGGCTCAGGTCATGATCCCGGGGTCCTGAGATCGAGCCCTGCATCGGGCTCCTGGCGCAGTGGAGAGTCTGTTTCTCCCTCTACTCTTCCCTCCCCTGCTTGTGCTCTCTCTCTCTCTAATAAATGAAATCTTAAAAAAAGAAAAAAAAAAGGAAATGCAATTGATTGGGGCACCTGGGTGGCTCAGTCGTTAAGCGTCTGCCTTCAGCTCAGGTCATGATCCCAGGGTCCTGGGATCGAGCCCCGCATCGGGCTCCCTGCTCGGCGGGAAGCCTGCTTCTCCCTCTCCCATTCCCCCTGCTTGTGTTCCCTCTCTCGCTGTGTCTCTGTCAAATAAATAAAAAATCTTAAAAAAAAAAAAAAAAAAAAAGACCCTTCTATGTTCCAAGGAACCAGGCTCCCAGGAGAATGGCTGAATCCAGGCCTGGGAAAGAACAAGATGAGCCTGGAGCATCTCCATGCAAGAAGGAATAAAATGGGGGCGCCTGGGTGGCTCAGTCGTTAAGCGTCTGCCTTCGGCTCAGGTCATGATCCCAGGGTCCTGGGATCGAGCCCCGCATCGGGCTCCCTGCTCCGCGGGAAGGCTGCCTCTCCCTCTCCCGCTCCCCCTGCTTGTGCTCCCTCTCTCGCTGTGTCTCTCTGTCAAAATAAATAAATAAAAAATCTTTAAAAAAAAAAAAAAAAAGAAGGAATAAAATGCTCCAGAGATGGAGACACTGCAAGAGGACTCGGGGTGGGAG